TTACTTCTCAGAGACAATGACAGGTCTTGCCGTCTTGGCTGCGGGGAGCTTTACCGTTTTACATGTTGATCCGTTTTGTTGAAACCATGTTGATGAGCTTTCAATAGTTACATTGGATAGTGCCACTTAGTACAATGAAGCTCCTTGATTTGTCCTACCTCCTCTCTCTCTCTCTCAATGAAGGAATGAAAGCTACAGATAACTTCTCAACTATTTACAGGTGTCTCTTATAGAGCAATATGAGATGTAGCTAAAGAAAGTAGAGTTGTTTCATGTTCCAGATGCAACTTGGTTATAGTTGAAATGTTGAATTATTGTGCTAGTTTTTGTTTTCTTGCAAGGAAGATAAGATCCAAAAAGGACTAAAATTTCAGTCATGTTTGCAGGAAAGCAGCTAATTTCCCTAGAAAATGATGATTTGGAGAAAAGAAAAACTATGAAGCAATGGTTGGATTATTTGTGGCTGCTGTTTTCTAAACTACTGAAATATAGAGCCAGTTTTTGAGTGAAGGAAATAGAGTAATCAGACAAGAGAAAAAAAGAGGCTACCTGCATCTCTCTCTCTCTCTCTCTAAAATTATCTAATAATATCCATGGCTATTTTTAATTATTTTTCAAATTACAGTATCATACCCATGTTCATAAAAAAGGGTTGTCCCCCTATTGTAGTTTATTCAAGATTACATGCAAAATATCAAGGTTTAAAAAAAAATTGACATAAACCACCAATAAGGTAACAAATAAATAAACTACTTAGGGTTTTCTTAGGTTCTCCCAATTAGGGGTGAGCATTTGGTTTATTCAGTTAAAAATTAAATCGAATAAATTAAAATTTTAAAAACCGAAATAAAAAGATGAAAACCGAACCAAAACTGGATTACAAGAAAATCGAAATCGAAATTTTTTATTTGGTTTTCAGTTATTTTGGTTAAAAACCAAATTTAATTAATATATATATACATATATATATAATATTATATATTATAACCTATAATATATATATATATATTATATTAATATATAAATATATAGCATATTATATATTATATGTTATATATTGTATATTGTATATTATATATTACATATTATATAATGAATTTGGTCAATTCGATTTTTTCAATTAACTGAGTTTCTAACTCTAAAAACCAAAACCAAAAGCTAAAATTCATAAAAACCGAACTAACCAAAACAAATTATCTAAAACTAAAAAAACCAAAACCGAAACTAAAATTCATAAAAACCGAACTAATCGAAACAAATTATCTAAAAACCAAAAAGAAAAAAAACAAACCAAAAAACCAAAACCAAAATTTTCGATTTGGTATTTGAATTTTAACCGAATAATCACCCCTACTCCTAATACTTAATTTAGCTATAGATTGTTTGGGGAAGTTTTATGTAATCAAAAGATTGGTCTTTATGTTCAAAATCTTCAAAATCGAATAATGTTTCATAAATTACTAACAGGCAAAAATGTTATAGTTCTCTTGGTCCAGTTCATGGATTAAGGAAAATGGGGTGGGGCATTTCCCACTTTGCCACATGGCCCAACTTGGTCAATAGTTCAAATTGTTCTTATTTGCATCACCCATGCCTCATTATTAACGGTCCGGATCAGTCAAATGGAGGTCCAGGGGCTCTGGCTTTACTTGTAGGACCTGAGATCTTAGAAGCATAGTGACTAAGTTTTGAAACAAATGCGTTAATCGAGCGCAGAACAGCATATTATCTGGCCAATGCCATCTGGATGACGTGGCAAATTTTGGTTAAATGAACTTATTTTTTTGGATTGTAGGAATAGCAACAGGACGGATTTTGGGGCAGGGATCATACTCGCCATTCCCAACCCTGACTTTGAAATAAATCCCTGTCTCTAACCCTGATCCCTGCCAGGATAAAAATGATCCTCCATCCATGATCTCCGATATAGACAGATTCCCTGTTTGGGACTCAAATGTTCAAAATTTTTTAAATGAAAGGGTTTTTTAGAAAATAAATTTACTTGAAAAAATATTTTGTTTAAATATAAAAATATTTTAAATATATTTTGATATATATATATATATATATATATATATATAATTGGGCTCGGGGCAGGATAGGGAATTCACTCTCCTTCCCGATCAGGTATCATTATCAATCATTTCCCCGTTCTCACCAAATCAATCTCCATCCCCAACCCCATTGGGTCGAGGGTTGGTCGGGGAAGCCGGGTACCTGATAGGGACGGAAAAATTGCCATCCCTAACTCAGGGTGCGTTTGGTCGTTTGGGTTTACTTGTATTTTAACAAAGAACCCCAATTAATTGGGCACAAATGTTTAAACCCCCATATAATGGCCAAAATACCCCTGAAATGGTGTCTCACATGGGCATTCCTTCCCAAGCTCTATAAATGCAGTGGTCCTTAGCTGGGCTATCATGTGACCGTTGGTTCCCATTTATTAAAAGGTTTCGTTGCACATGTAATGTAGTAGTAGTACTGAACCTTATGCTTCCATCATTCCATTATTTAAATGACTACTTTAACCTCATTCATCCGGATACTTTATTATTATTATTATTATTATTATTATTATTATTATTATTATTATTATTATTATTATTATTATAAAATAGGGAATGATGGAGGTACAGCACATGATAGTGTTGGGTCTATCTAGTTCTACTAATCATAGCTGAGCTTTACAATATTGCAAGTTTGATTATAAAATTATTGGCTACAAGTCCACGTTTTGTGATGCTGGAGGCCCAGATCTGAATGTTGTTGCCCCATTATGTTGTGGGCTTGGTCAATTCACATTTGCCAGTGTTTTACCTCGAATCATTTCTCTCTTGCAGTTTGGACCTGTATTGGGGGCCCACATGAAAATGCGTTTTCCCACCAAACATCATGAATGACTGCGTAAATTTGTTGTATTTGAAGCAAACGCAGTTGTCCATCCAGACCCAGTTGCGTGGACGTCTTTTCTTTCTATCTTGGGATTTGAGGATTCTTAAAATCAAATGGTGATGGTGACAAACAGGAGGATAGAGATAGACCCTTAGACATGCTTCCTCATCCTACGTGCAATGATGAAGTTATTAGTCAAAATTCAGAGATGATGCATGCAGTGGGCACCCACACATGTGATGCCATGTACACGTGCGTGACTATACATTTGCATCGCATTAACAGTTGAAAATTTCATTTAGGGCCCGTTTGGTTCATGGGAATAAGGGTCTGTAATCGAAATTGGAATGGGCCATTCTAAATTCTGATACAACTGTTTGGTTGGATGGAATCAGAATTCTATTCTCCCATTTGAGGGAACGGCCATTCCCTTCCCCTCCCTTAGGAATGAAATCCTATTGCAGCTTATTACAATTCCAATTCAGATTCCAGTCTGTGAATCAAATAGACTAGAAATAAACCATTTCAATTCCGATTATAAGAGATTTTGATTCTGATTCCAACTACAAATCAAACAGACCCTAAAGAGCAACCACTGTTCACCACATGCACATCCTTACGCCCACACGTGTGCCCACTGTTTTAATTTTGAGCCCCAGGATTGGTTGGCCTCACAGTCACAGCCCATCTTGATCCTACTAATCCAGCGAGTCTGTTGAATTTCTGGGAGAGGATGGAAAGAAGTCTTCCAATGTTGAGTTATTTCTTAGCACTCAATCTCAACGTGTTAGGTCTGGAGGGAACCAAGACAGGACAGCCAAATCTAGTCTAGCTAGTCTGGGCTCGTGTGGCACCCCATGAGACCATCTTTGCTGCACGGCAACCAGTTTGAGAGCTCTCATCTATAATCCACAAGGTTTTAATCCAAACCTGCAACTCAACATTTGATTTGGTGCCTCTGATACCAGGAGTTGTACATCTCTGGCAATGACCGTCATTTATTCTGGGTTTGCTTTACCTTTAAATTATTTCTATTTTCTAGTACTGATGTAAGTTGGTCTGGCCCTGCCAAATCAGCTATACCCTGGCAATCGGGTTGGGTCAGCAAAAGCTACTCTTATTTACAGTTGACCCACAGGTCAGACATGTCAATGGTTTAACCGTCTGGGTCAACTGGTCTTTGACCAAGTCAATGGTTTTTTTACGAGATATATAAATTTAACCATCCAGTTTAAATGGTTCAAACAGTTCAATCATCCAGATCAAAGCCAGTTTGAAAACATTGGTTTGAAAAGAGGTGACCCGGTGATGATGACCTGCAACCCAACCCAACCTGACTTGGATTCTTTTTGGGTCGGGTCATGCTGCCTTCTACTTCGTGCTGCTTGATACGGGACCCTAAAACCGCTTTCTTTTCCCGGGTTGGGTCAACCTTTTGCCAGCTCTAGACTCAACCCAAGGACACTAGGGCTCATGAAATTTTGGTTAGATAAGTAGATAACATGGGGAAATGCAAATGGGAATGTAGGAGTGGTTGGAACTTGAAAGTGGGTAGGACACTAGGGCTGACATGGATGGGGAATTCAACGCGTTGGCAAATCAGAGATTCCTTATTCAGTGGATGGGTCAGGGCACCATTCAGAACCCCAATCTAAACTTCGGGTCCATCCACCTGAAACCCGCCCTTAGATTGAGAGGGCCACAATTTCATGCTGGAATGGATTCGGCTGCTTGGGCTAGCCAGCCCAATTTGGAGGTTATCTTTTCTCTTTCTAAATCTAAGCATTTACCTTCATCCAATCCCTGAACGAGTCCTTGCTTGCGGATTTCTTATAGGAATTGCCTAGCCCATCAAGAGATTAGACAACTGAGGCCCCACAATGGCCCAATTTTAGGTTATTTATGTTGAATAACCTAAAATTAAAAAGTTTAAACATCTCTATAAATTTTATAACTAAAAAAATAAATATAATACTTCATAATGCTGGGGAAAACTCAATAACACTCAACAGGATTGAAAATCCTTAAGGCTGTGGTTTTAAGGAAATAGTAGGGAAAGGCAGGGAAACCTTTACAAAATTAGGTGCATATATTTATAAAAAATTAGGTTAGATAATTTAATTCACAGTTGTATCATACTTATAACACAAGTGTAATTTACAAAGCATTAAGACCATTGACTTGTCTGAGTTCTAAACAATACTTTTGTTTTCAGTTTTGATTCTTAATCCATACAGGCTGAACCAATTTTATTTGTTATGTCCTTTGGTTATTTACATATGTTCTATCCTCTATTCAAATCCAGCCTTCAAGTTCTGTTACAAAAGAGGTAAGTCCCTGTTGATACAAAGAAAAATGTGAACAGTCAAAATATTACCGAAGAAGTTAACAGCAGAGACAGTATAGTTGGGCCATTGACGGTTCTCTTTCAGGTAAGACAATGTCTCTGCAAAAGAATAGTGAATTGAAGGGTCAATATCATTGTTTAGTGGACTTCCACTCAGTAATTGCAGAAAGGAGAGTATAATTTGGTAAAAGGTTTTTATTAGGCAAGGGCAAATTTGTCATTGGTGATTTATCATTTTGAGCAAGCCATATCTCTATTGCTCTGCGATCATATGTATATCCATCTGCGGCAACACAAGGGTTATCCATCACATCCTGTAAAGAAACCATGAATCAGCCATTTCAAATTCAAAATACAAGTTCCATAAAGAGCAGAGAAGATTTAATAAGTTCTTCCTTAATGTTTGACTATGAGAAAAGTACAACAGGAACAACAGGACTAATCTATCCAATCTGATGATATTTAATTATTTCTCAACCTTTATATGGAAAGTAGTCAAAATATATATAGAGTTAATCAAAATGACAGAAATATGCTTGTGACTCATAAAGAGACCATAAGTAAAGACTTCAACAGGAGGAAAGTAAATTATGTCATCATGTGCTATGCTTGCATTTCCTATAACCATGAGCACATGGTTTCACAGAGTACCATTTGATAGCCCCATCAAATTTTTAGTAAAAAATGGTCCAACTGGCTGATTCTAACCATCTGATCTAGAACTTTATTACAGTTCCAGAACATTTTTTGCAGAAGAATATCCGATGGTTAGATGAACTGAACCAATTGATTTTGACTACAGAGATCTTTAATTGAGTTCCCTGTTGGATGGTAAGTCTAACCATTCTACATGCCATCTACAAGCATATAAAAGGTGTAAGTATAGTAAGCTTTGTTCAGATGTAAGATGCTAGTGCCATTGAGAGGATGCAATCATGCTTACTTTAAGTATTGGACAGATGAAGTGGCTTGGAGGGGATGGTTGGAGACCACCAGGAGCCAAACCTCTTCCTCTAGCAGCAATCTCTTTCAAGCTCTCCAGAACCGGAAGAACTTGAGTCCTCAAATCAGGTCTATCACCACGTTGTAGTTCTGTGCAGCTTAGTCCCAAAACAGCTAATTTCTGTGTCTCTTCAATAGGCCAATTCCCAGCCTCATGATCCAAAATATCAATTAAGTGTCCATCACCTAATGCTGTTTCCACTATGTGGGCAAGTGCCATAGCGGGTTTTGCTGTTAGCAACTGCAATATCACCATCCCAAATGCATAAACATCAGACTTTGGTGAGACCAACCCAGTCCTTTGATACTCAGGATCTATGTAGCAGAGTGTCCCAACAGGGCCTGTGTTCTTGCATAGAGTAGCCACTGAGGAATGGGATGAAGGAAGCAATGTAGAAAGGCCTACATCACCAATCTTGCTCACAAAGTTATGATCCAGCAAGATGTTTGCAGGTTTCAGATCACGATGGATGATTGGCTTTGGTTTTGAACTGTGTAGGAAAACCAGGGCTGATGCTATTTCCCAAGCTATTCGATACCGTTCAAACCATGGGATTGGGGGTGTATTATCCTTCCGAAGAAGCCTCTCATCTAGACTACCATTCTCCATGTACTCATAAACCAGGCAACCATGATCGGGACAGGCACCAATAAGCAGCAGCAAGTGGGGATGGTGAATTTTGCTCAAGATTTCAAGCTGAAATGCAATCAAGAAACATCTGATCAATGATCTATTAAACCTAATCTCTAAGATGCCACCTGGTCATCAAACTTGGAAAATAAAAAATTATGCAACTTGGAAATAAAAATGAGGCCATGAGAAATACAGACTTTGTCAAATTCCATATGATGCCCTTACATGAAATATTGTATTCTCCTTGGTAACCTAGTTTTAGAGGATAGTAAATCAATGTATTATCCTCTATGGGTAAAGCATTATTTTCTTGTAATTTATAAATAATTAGAAAACATCCCACCACAATGCATTAGCAAGTCGTTTTTTGTTGAACATAATGGATTTTTTCCATAGATCATAAAACATTTTTGGAAATAAAATTTATCGGAATGTGTTTTAGGCCATTATTTTGTGGAGTATCAAAGTCTTTCACAAAGAATAAATTACAATGGAGAATGGAGAAAAATTTTAGAGAAAATGAAGTAGTTTATAGTATAAAAATGGCATTCCACCTAATATGATAATTTCTTGATTTACATGTGATGTGAATATGTGATTTCCAGTCAGAAGCTCTATAATAAGAGTTGTAGTATAAAATATTAGAGAAAAATCTCCAATACTTAATCAGAAGAATGTATTCCACCTTGGCATAAATCTGTTATCTATGTTAGGATATTCACAAAAGTCACATATGTTTATTTCAGCTCCCCCCCCCCTCCCATGGTAAAAAAGCACCATAGAACCATAGAGACAGCTGATGCCTTCATAATGTAAGGTGGCAGAATAGATGGTTTTAACAAGAGAGATTTATTAAACTTGTTTGAAAAACATGGTCACCTAAATACTGTGGACTCCTTATAACAGTTTAGAACTGTATGCTTATATTTGATGAAAAGGTGATAATTCAGGCTTTCATTTTCCATACAAACAAAGCATACCTCCTGTTGGAACTGTTTGGTCCTGTGATTCTCTTTTGAGTGTAGGACTTTTACTGCTGCTACAGTATAGTGTAAATTACACTTATAAACAGTCCCATATGCCCCTGTTCCAATCCTAAGATTCTCAGAAAAAGATGAGGTAGCTGACACAATCTCTTCCCATGTGAACTTCTTGTATTGTTGATCAGGACCCATTAGCACCTTCTCAAGCCTTTCTTTCTCCCTGGTTTCACGGTTGGCTTTAGCCTCTGCCTCTTTCCTTTGTAAAGCTTCTCTTCCAGCACATTCATTCAAGAATTCAGCTTCCTTCCTTGCAGCTTCATGTTTCTCCTTCTCTTGTCTTACCAATTCCCCAGCTTCCACCTCCTTTAAGGTCACCTCCTTGAGCTTATTTGCTTCCTCCATCCATTGTTTACTTAGATTGTTTAACTGGCAAAGAAAGAGCATTATTTTATTTAGCAATTGACTATTAGTTGTACAATTGTCCATATACCATTGATCCAAACTCCATCTACTTAATGGACCACCTCTTGTAGGGATGACCTGTGAATACAAGATTTTCCCTAGTTGACAATACTAATCATGAGCATGTATCAAGGTGGTAGGAAGCAATTTACAATAAAGTAATCAGATTACAATAGTGCAATGCTGTATGGTTGGGGTTATGTCAGATCAAAGAGATGGCCCATCATTTGGATGATCGAGAAAAGTAGCACGAGTACAATTCAGATTATGGTAATCTATATGCCCATTCATCTATAAATGGTACCGTTTCTAAACTGATTCTAGCTGTTTCTCCATGGTTATCACAACAGATATGAACTTTATTCAACATTGAACTTACTCTCCAGGAAGCATCTAGAATCTCATTTTGAGCCATTGCATACATCCCTCGAACATGTCTGAGTTCAATTCTTAGCCTTTCTAGCTCAAAGTTAATATCAACCTGCATGTACAATACCAACCATGATGGCAAATGCCATATACCAGTAGATGCATGGTTTATTAACTAACCATTTAATGGTTCACAATCAAAAGAATTTATCATGCCAAAACCACAATCGTAGATGCATCATTAGTAACTAAGTCACTAACATTTTCGGATTGATCTTTCAAATTAACCAATATGTCAAATATTGTACAATCATCTCATGATCAAATATTTTTTTAGCAGACATCAAGGTAGAACCTGAAAGTGGTGTGACATTCTCCTTTCATGCACACCAAGTCTAGGTCACAACTAGATAGACTATCCAGAGTTTCCTTAGATTCTCTATATGCATCTTGTGGAGAAGAATCTGTTGGAGCATCTGATGTGGAAGCTTGATCAGAATTCCAAGATCCATGATCTGTCCCAAAGCTTCTGTAGCTAGGGACCTTGCTTCTACAATACTGACTATCCGTGCTGCTAGATAAAGAACTCATAACATCCTCCCTATCATTGATATCAAGAGATGAACCTCTAGAATGACTGGAGTCAGTTGGATTTGACTTTTTTTGAAGGAGGGTTTGGTTTATAGTTGAAAGAGCTTGAAACCGCTGAATCCGTAGAGAAGGGTAGTTGAAAGAGCTTGAGCCTGGGTCTGTCCATACAAATAACAAGAACAAAAAATTATAAGCTCTTTGCTATTAGCTTAATGCCCTTACTTGCAATTCAAAATTCTAACATCCAGTTTCCTTTCATTACCAATTCTAACCCTAGGTTAAGTTCATTTCTTTCACCACTCTCATTGGTTTACATTGCTGCATAGGTGCAAAGGGGTGCCAATCATCATTTTGATAGGTCCACCCTCTGTTTAATACACATTGAAAATTAACACTTATTGAATTTGTTTTAAATGGAAAGGATTTTGACTGGAAACTAAAAAATTCTCCCAAAAGGAGTTACCAAAACCCAAAACATGAAAGAAAAAATCAGCTCATCCACTATTTTTTCTAACAAGTGATTTATCTTCTCATCATTAAAGTTGCCAATATCTGCCTCCTCGCCTTCTCATGGTGTACTGTCTAAAATTTCTTTTCAAGCATGGATGCATATAGAAACCAGTCTCCACATCTTTCTTGAACTACTCCAATTTTTAGAAACGAAACCAATAAATGACAAGGTATTTTTTGCTCTTTTGCAGTAAATCAGCATTGATTAGAAGACGGGGAATATATGTGCTTATCATGTGCATTTCTATGACTAGTATTTGCCTTCTTCCTTCTTGGGTTGATACTGCATCCCTCCCCATAATATCTTTCCAGTCTTGTAAATTAGTAAGACCCCAACCAATTTTGTGATTTTTGGCCAACTAAAAAGAAAAAACATACATGCACATATTTATGTTATGAATCAATGTTACCTAATGAAATCATATACAGGTAAGGCAAATATTATGGGGAGTGCCTTGCCTGAACCTAGGTACAGCTCTGCCAGATTGTTGTTATGTTTTGATGGATTAATCTTGAATTTGATTTTTCAATAGGTAATTTACCATATTAAATGTTGTGGCATAATTTTCAGAATTCAGACAGTAGCCCATGCAAGGCTTGAACCTGAGTGGCTATAACATTCATGTTAATAACATGACCCCAGCCAATTTTGTGATTTAGATTTGCATATTGTTATATATTAAGTTTCTTTTTTTTTTCCTTTATAATTAGGACTTAATGTCATTTACCATGCACCTCATGCCTCAGAATCTAGGAACCCCTTGTGCTTTAGCTGCATTTCTTGCTTCTAGAGACTGGCTAACTTAAAGTTAACTGAAAGAGAAAACTACCTGTTCGAAAGCTGGAAGCATAAGTTGAACCACTACATGTGGAATTACTTCTGTCACTACATTCAGCTTTGGTGCTCCCATTTGTATCTGAAGTAGATGGGCGCACAGATGATAATTTTCCTTTTGAAACAACATAGACTGTACAAAATCTTGGAGGGCAATCTGAGATTCTTGTGGATATATTATGGGCCTTGGATTTCCTATAAACACATAAACAAATAAAGTGATGAATAAAATGCAGAAATAAATGAAGCACTTGACATTCAGAAAAAAAAATGAATGAAAGGATGATTAGAATTTGCACTTTGACATTCAGAGTAAAAAATTATATTTTTGGGTGGAAGGACGATTGAGAAAAATAAAGTAGAAAAATGAATAGTAAGAGAAATAAAGGCAGAGGGAATCAATAGATTCCAATGATAACAGCTTAAACCACTATTATTATCAAAAGACTAGAAAAGGATGGCCTGAGTAATCTAAAGAGACTAGATGTTAGGGTGTCAAAAATGGTACACATAAATATTGATAAGCATCACAATAAACGAAATAATGGGTCAAATAAATCAATTGAAATAACTAAAGCACAAAACTTTGCTTTTTATTTCCTTCAAATGTTAGACAAGGGGTGATCATTGGCCAGGCTAGGCTTAGTACCTATGATAAGGATTATAGCCCACACCAAGCCGAGCTGAACTTTGGGCCAATGGCATATAATGATAAAAATATAATTGTTTAGAAAATTTTAAATTAAATAATGTATAATACATGAAAACAAATATTGCACAAGCCCAAGCCAAATCAGGCTTGGCTAGGCATTGGTCCTATGGCACAAAAAATAAGGCATGGGCCTCATCTAATTCCTAGATTTTGTTTGGCTTGGCTGGCCTATCTTTTATAGATGAAGGCCTTGCCTAGGAAGACAACTCTCATACTTGGATTGACTTCATGTGTTGGTAGATGTGTTAACTCATTTTTTGATACGTGTCAAATCATGAATACGTATATGTTAAAACTTATATTTTATATAAAATGTTTAATATAAAATAAAATATATTTGCATGTATACAATCCAAATACAAGTACAAACTACAAAAATTTAAAGATTGAAATGTTCATTTAAGGAAAGAAATATTGAGGAATAATGAAATTATTATAGGATCAACGTATTGGAAAATGACTACAGATATTATGTGTTGGAAACAATGTTTTAAAACGCGGAGGCATGATGCGAGGCGTTCCACTACCTAGAGGCGTGAGGCGTAGTTCAGAACGTAAGAGGCATAAGCCTCCCGAACACAAAGAGGCATAAGCCTACTTAAGAAGGGGGATGAGGAGGAAGAAGGAGGAGGGAGAAGACGAAGGGGGATCTCATTTTTCTTTATTTTTAATAAAAATCTTTTATATTAAGAAGAATGAAGATGCACACCACAGTGTAGCAGCAACATAGAGGCTTATAGTGTCTTCCTTTTTCTAAACTCATGCTTTATTGATTTGATCAGATGGTTTAGATTCAACAGATTGACTAACGAGTAAGAGATCCGCTAATTACAAAGTTCTGCACCGAATCAGATTGCTGAAAACTCAGAAGTCTTATATGGACTTCAATAGAAGTTCAAATCAGAAAACACTCATATCTGATTAATCCCCTCCAGAAATAAATGTCAACCGTGTGCATAGAATATCCAAGGAATACAAATGACTACAAGGAAGGGAAGAAGAGAATAGAAATAAAAAACAATCAATAGGCAACAGAACAGTATGCCCCAATTTGTAAGTACATATGGCTTGAATGAGTTGAATAGCACACTTCAATGCGGAGGATCCATCAACATATAAAACTTCAATTCAAAAGAAAATAAGAGAAACAATGTCCAAAACAAAACCAACTTGGAAAAATGTTGACATATGATTTTTGGGCAGAAAATGGGTTCTGATCTGACATATTCCATGGCCCACCATTGGAGGATGGAACAGCCAAGAAAAGATCAGAGTTTTCTCATGCAAAATGCACCAAGAAGAGGAGAGTGCAACCCAAGAAAGGAGTACAAAGCACTGGACTGGGATCTAATACCATGTGAGTTCAAAGAGAAGAATCTTCAAATAAATACATTTGCATAATTCAGACTCAAAATATGGGTTTAGATAGAGTACACAACCAAAATACCAAAACAGAGACTAAATAATACATGGCTATGGCAGATCCATTTATGATTCTAATACTAGTTCTAACTTAAGACTATGATATTTTTCCAAAATTAGGAGCAACTCAACTCAAGAAAGCCTTATCCCAAGTTCCCAACTATATGGGGTTAGCTCATATTAAAACAACACCCATTCAATAAATAGTTCTCATTGATCATACAAAACAAACCTAAAATGACACCTCTCAATGCAAATTATTAGCTTCCCTGGGTGTTAAACTAAAGTGTACTTAGGGGATATATGGAGCTCTTTTTTTTTTTGATAAATGAATGGCAGATTTTATTAAGAATTGTAAAAGTGTACAATCGCCCTACGAGAAGGCACGAGATGTTACCTCCCCTTAGACATGAGAATATGATCACACTCTAAACAGAATTACAATTATAAGGTAGCCCAAAACAATTCACCCCTTGATACCCCTTGTTTAGCCAAAGAATCAGGCATAGCATTTCCCAATCTGTTAACCCACCAAAATCTAACTGACATATTCCTTGTAAACCAATTTACCTTTCTTGAGAAGATCCTTGTAGCCCCAAAAGACTGTTTCTGGATCCAACATCCAGCCCACTACCACCTTAGAATCCCCTTCGACTATCAAGTTCTCCACTCCAAGATGATTAGAAACCCGTATTCCTTGTACTGATGCTCGTATCTCAGCTCTTGTAGAATCACCAACTCCCACTGGTCTGGAAAATAAGGATAGAATGCTGCTATCCTTATCTCTCAAAATCCCTCCTATACCCAAGGGCCCTAGATTGCCTTTACTACTCCTATACCCAAGGACCCTCCAAAGGGGGTCTCCAGTCTGTTTGTAATATTCTTTTTGGAGGTTGTGGATGCCACTTCTGCCCAACTTCTCCGAAGATCAACAAAAGAATAATTTACAAAAAGGTCTGAAGTTTTCAGCTAGAGGATTGTCCTTCTCAATATGCACTCCTTTACTTCAGCAAGGCTTCTTTCCTTTTCTTGGAATATTCTAGCATTCCTCTCCTCTCAAATAGTCCACAAAATAGCTGCTCTGATACACCTCCACAAGTCCACATTAGTTTCCCTCTCTTTGTCAGCCACCCAAAGGTAGATGGATCAAAAAGCAGGTTTACTTCAGGGGACAATCCAAATAATAGCAGCAAAAGAAAAGTGGTGGCAGTCCTCACTCTTCACTTTACACAAAATACACCAATTTGGAGACAAACAAAAATAAGGTCTCTTCTTTTGTAGGTTATACAAAGTATTGATCTTGCCATAATAGGCTTTCCAATAGAAAATAGCTATTTTAGGAGAGATAGGCCTTGACCAGATTTCTTTAACAAGGAAAACCTAAGAGGAAGGTGTGGAACAAAGGGAGTTGAAGAAAGAGGCACAAGTGGAGGAGCTACTCGAAGTCAAGTCCAAATTATTTTATCAAGTTTAGGGGGGGTCCAAACAAATAGTGTCTAGAAAAAGCAAAAGATAAAAAACACAAGCAAATTCATCATCCCTTAAACCTCTACGAAACCCAAAGTCCCAATTTAAAGTCAATGAGAGAACTGGGGGAAAGGAACCTTGAGAGGGAGATATAATAAAGAGAGGGGAAGTGGTCTTTTAGGGGTTGAGTACCCACCCAAACATCTTCCCAAAAAAGAACAAAGTTTCCAGAGCAGACATCATACCTTACATACCTGAGGAATTTAGGGAGAGTTTCAAAAATTTCCTTCCAAGGTGTTAGGAGCAAAGCCCTTCAAGATACCCCAACATCCCAACCGGTTTCAAAGCAGCCATGGATACTAGCCAGTAGCCACCACTTCATGCCATAATCTCTCTCTTTCCAGAGGCCACCTCCAAAGGCATTTCCCTAGAAGTGCTTCATTCTTACTAACTAAATTCCCTAACCCTAAACCCCCTTCTTTTTTAGTTCAACTCACCACTTCCCACCTGACCAAGTGATCTTTTTTCTCTTCCCTAAGCTCCCACAAGAAATCCCTCATCAATTTTTCCATCCTCATAGCTTCCCTGTTAGGTATCCTAAATACTAACAGATAGTAGATTGGTAGGTTGGCTAGTGTTGCTCTAACCAAAGTTACTCAGCCCCTAGAGAAATGTAGTTTTTCTTCCAAGCTACCAATCTTTTTTCAAACTTTTCCACCACAGGGTTCCAAAACCTACTTTCCTTTAGGTACCGACAGGGAGTCCTAAATAGACTAAAAGCCACTCAGAACAAGTACAATCTAAACAGGCTACAATAGACTCCATTCCCCTCCATCCAAGTTTAACCCCACTACACAACTCTTCTTGAAATTGATTTTCAGGTTTGAGGCCTCTCGAATAGGATTATTAATTCAGATTTCTCAACTTCATCAAATCACAACCCTCACTAAAAATTATAATGCTATCTACAAACTAAAGATGAGTAACTAGAACTCTATCTTTACCTATTCGCCACCCTCTTATTGACCCGGCCCTGGTCGCTTTTGATAAGAGTCTACTAAAGGCATCAACAATCCATGTGAATAAGAAATGGGACAATGGATCACCTTATCTTAGGCCCCTATAGGCTAGGAAAAAATCATTAACTACCCCATTGACTAATATAGAGTAATGACAAGAAGTAAAGCAACCATTTATCCATTTACACCATCTCTCCCCAAAACCAACTTCCTTAGCACCTCTAACAAGAAGCTCCAATCCACTAGATCATAGGCCTTTTCAAGATCCAAATTACAAACAAAGCCTTGATTACCTGATTTTCTCATCTCCTCTACGCATTCATTTACTATTAGAATTTGATCAATTATATGTCTTCCCTAAACAAAGGCACCTTGAGCTTGACTGATGAGGGAGGGGAGCTAGGGGTGTCAACGGTATTCAAAAATTCGATTTCAAATTCGAGATTCGACATAATCAAATCGAATTCAAATAATTCGAATATCTAATCGGTCGAATTTGGATATGGCCTGATTTGATTCAATAAATATCCAAATTCAACCTATTATTTAATTTTTATATGTAATATATAAAATAT